TAGGTGTCACACAGAAATTATAAATACTCAGATGATGGCTTGATTCTAAGATAAAGTTGTCCTTTATGAATAAGTGAATGAGAAGTTTTACACTTACAGTTTTTCATGTGATCAGCGAGAAAACTATGACTGTTTCTTAGTGTCCGAAAACCCATAACCCTGGGTATGTGTTGAAATAATGTCATGTTTGCAATGTTTTTTTCAACAAAAGGTAAGTAAGTACAAGGCTATTTAAAAAAAATATATATTTCAAAGGTCAGACATTGCACGCTTGTGACCATGGTGACAGTTGTCCTTGTGTCTGGGGGATGGGGGTAAAGTACTGATTTAACTTCGAAATTTTACTGCATCCGGAATCTTTGTTTAAGTGACTTGTTGACTTTTGCCACTGACTTATTACATTTCTTGGGTCCAAGTCATTGAACTGTATACAGCTTTTTGTGTCAAAATCACTGGACTAGTGCCAATTTCTAATGCCACTCACTCACTCACTCACTCACTCACTCACTCACGGTCATAATTAGGGCATTTTCTTAATTTAATTTAGTCATTGTTAGGTTTGTTTTAAGACAAAAATTGCAGTGTCTGGATCCAGAGGTAGATTCATTGAGTGAATATCGAATAACATTAAAGGGCAAGTTCACACAGAAATGAACCTATTTTTCTTGTACTTTTTCCACATTAAAAGTGTTAACCTAGTAGTGTCCTAGACAAAAATATAAAAATATCACAATTAATTAACATATTTTTTGCATTAAAACGATTTATTTTTTTCACATTTACCAAGTGTTCTATTTCCAGAACAAAAACACCATGGCTTATGCCCCTTGCAATATGACGTCATTGGTGCCAATTGATAAACATTATGACGTCATCATGCTTTGTTAGAGCCGCTTCACGTGGTGTAGGTACAGGTGTGTGATTCTAGCGTCTCAGATGCCAGCCAGCATAGTGTTATGCTGAGTCACCACTGCGCCGGAGTGTGTCGTAGGCCATGTTGTTTTACTGCAAGCTGGTACTTGATATCTTTTGCGTTGAGAATAGACAGGGACCCAGTTGAATTGGCACCAATTACGTCATAATCTAAGGGGGATAACTCAGGCCTGTTTAGCTCGAAAAACGAAGGCCTCATAACGGCATAGCATTTTCACACTATTGTGAGCTTCCTACTTTCACTGTGAAAAAGATGAGTTTATATTTTCAAACACAGATACTAACTAATTCTAAAATTGCGTTTTGTTTAGAAAAAGAAAGAAAGTGATTTTTGCGTGTACACTTCCCCTTTAAGGATTAAAAACTCACCAAATATTCACCAAACTCTTTTAAATAAAAAACTTGTGTAGTAACAGGAGCAGCTGGCCTACTTCACTGTGGATGTGTTGACAAGCTATTTCCTGTGTTAACATGCTAGTGGTAATGTTGTTCCTGCATTAAAAAATCAATACTCTGCCTGTATAAAAAATTTATATGCACCCTCATCTATACACCTGTGTTTTTAGGGGGGGAAATGTATTATATTAAGTATATACAAGAAAGTATTGTAATCAAAGAAATATTATATCAATTATTTTTTTTACAGTTGGACATATTTTGGGGTTGATTTCGTTGTCATAATGCTCGTAATCTGTCAGTTTTGCCAGTTTGAAATACAAATGTGTTGACTTAAGTAAGGTTTCACTAACTAGCAGGATGAAACAATCAAATTTGTAATCCCAAATTTAACATTTATTACATTTGACCACTGTCTAATTGGCATTGTGTATTCATAACTACCAGGATCATCTTAGCGCTACGATCGCTTTGTTGAAAAGAGCCCTGGGCCCACTTGCACAAAGTTATCTTAGCACTAAGATAATCATAACTCCCGTACTTTAACATAGGCTTACAATAGTCTTAGCGCTAAGATCACTTTGTGCAAGTGGGCCCAGGGCTCTGTTCAACAAAGTGATCGTAGCCCTAAGATGATTGTTACTCTCAACATAGATTAACGACAGTCGTAGCACTGCTATCGCTTTCTGGAATGGGGCCCAAGACATTATGGGGCTACCTTCTCTTAGAGACCGACCATTTGATATTCTGGCGGAGGGGAGGCTTGGATCTTCTATCGAGATTACATATTTTTTCAGCTAAAGCTACAAACCAGATAATTTGTATATTTATTTTTATTTTCTGTAAGAAAAACACCTCCCAACAATGTCAATTTTGTGGCAGGCAATTTCTTTTTTCTTTCAACAGTCTGAAGCATACCGTATTCGATGTAATAAGCCTCGAAAATTAGAAATAGGGGGATCTTATTAGAATATTATTTTGGTGAAAAAAAGACAGAGTTGAAAGATAAATTTCGTGGTTTATGCTGACAGCCTGAAATGTTTATGTACGACAGATATATGTTACCAGAATTTAATTGCCAATAAAGGGTGCAAATAACACACGAGTGCGTATTATACGCGAATAGGGGAAGGAAGCGGTGCTTATTATATGCGAATAGGGGTCGGAAGGGGTGCTAATGTGGGATTGTTCACTAGCCAGTATATCAGCAAATCTCGCTGTGGGCGCTCATTGGAGCGGGGCGCTTTTTACGTCGAATACGGTAATTATATTTTTCAAGAATTCTCTCCCTCCCGAACCAAATATCAAATGGTTCGTCTCTTAGGAGTAACCAGTCTAAGCTTAGAAAGAGCGGCAGCAACAGCAGCTCGGATGTCCAGTTAATGAGCGATCCAGTTTAACACATTGCTCCCCTGAGCTGCTGCTGGTAAGCCATTTAGCCTCAGGGTAGCATTGAAATAAACATCTTGTTAGCCAATTAATTACCCTCTAACAATTCAATCTCAGTTTATGGTATTGTGTTTACTGTAAATTAGCACCAATCAGTGGTGCTTAGTACTGGGCCATTTTGTTCTTTGATTGGTTTGGTTGGTTGGTTTGTTGTTTAACGCCGCACTCAGCAATATTCCAGCTGTGTGACAGTGGTCTGTAAATAATCGAGTCTGGACCACACCATCCAGTCATTGATATCACAAGTTTGCCATTGTAACAATGTATTGAGGTTAAAAAATTCAAATAATCCTAGTTTTTGGTGGTGTTAACACACCGGGTAATACTGCAGGTGGAAATATTATTGATATTATGTTTCTTGTTGAACCTCAAATCCTGTTCCTATAAAAAGGTGACAGTTGCAGTACGTTATAATCCTGCTGCTTCTACCTTTTGTACTTTAGGTATTTTCCTGTCTCATAGTAACCCTGTGAGAGGTACTTCGTAACTTTCAAGTGATATCTGCTCAGAGGTTGTACATTTGAATTGTAAGACCTAGGTTTTACAATTGAAGTTTTATAAATTGGAGTTTTGATTAGCTAAAAGCTAAAAATGAAAGTTCCATGATGTTAATCAAACCTGCATCCACACATATGTTGTTGATTTTTGTAACCCTCTGAGCCACCAGGCCACTAAAGTTTGTTCAGTTTTACATGTCATGACTTCAGATGTGTGCATGCTGCACATGGTCTTACTCTCCCATGGTCTTACTCAATTGTTACCACTATAAGGTATCACAATGTTTTATTATTTTCTCTGATATTCCTTGCATTTAGACGGTTGCTAGGTTGGATAAATGCAGGCTTTTCGCTAGCTCGTGGTTTTACTTATTAACCAAAACTTAGGAGGAGTTTATCCTTCACTTAGAATGTTTAAATAATTATTGTAATGCCAGCCACAATGTTTCTAATGATTTTTTTCAAAACTGCCTGGGTAGGAGGTGAATCAACTACAGTGTATTTCCAAATTCAAAAGTACAATAAAACGGAAGTGTGAAAAAGTGTGAAAAAGTCTAGATTATCAAGGTAATAATGTCACACTCCATGTGTTTTGAAAAATCTGCTCGGAGTGAATTATTCAAAATTGATTTCTTAATTTAAGCCCATGGGATAAAAAATGAAAAAAAGTCATTTAAGCTAAACACCCAAGGAGCTAAAATATGTGCATTCCTGGCACTAGCTTAGTATCTTCTTCGGGTTTATGACAATCTCATTTAAATGAGATCTTAGTTCTCGCTACCGCTAAACAACGATCTGAGGACATTCCATTACAGGTCACGACAGATCAACCTTTTGCGACTAATGGATTGACTGACCAAAAAGTCAACATTAGCCAATCAGAAGGCAGCTTTTCTTATTCTGGAATGGCTAATAGATTCACTAGATTGTATGGATTCAGTCATACAGCCTATAACTGTTGTTATTGACTACCATCACATGGTTTGAATTTTGCTGAGTGTGGCTTTAAAACACAAACATAAAAAACTTTCATTAAAAGCTGAGCTGAATGACTATTCCGTTCATTTTTGAGTATGTGGATATATTTTACAATTTTTAAGTTGAGGTGCTCTTTGTTCGGGTACATTGTTTGTGAATAGGTTCCAAGTTTGTAGAAAACATGATTTCATGCATGTACAGGACAAATTGACTTTAGCATCACTCATGGTACAACAAAAAATCATAATCCAATATCAAATAAACAGACATTGACAAAAGGTATGAAGAATGATTAATATTACTGATACAAAGGTTGGACCAAAATGTCATACATTATGTATTCTGTATGTGGTAAGGACATACATTTGTCCATGTGGTAAGGCTGTATATTTGTCCATGTGGTAAGGCTGTATGTATATTGGGCCCTTGTGGGATTGAGGCTGTATATTTGTCCATGTGGTAAGGTGGTATAGTTGTACATGTGGTAAGGCTGAATAGTTGTCCTTGTGGTTAGGTGGTATAGTTGTCCTTGTGGTAAGGCTGTATAGTTGTCCTTGTGATAAGGCTGAATAGTTGTCCATGTGGTATGGCTGAATAGTTGTCCTTGTGGTAAGGCTGTATATTTGTCCATGTGGTAAGGGTGAATAGTTGTCCTTGTGGTAAGGCTGTATATTTGTCCTTGTGGTAAGTCTCTATATTTGTCCATGTCCATATACACAAGATCTGATCAACTTCTTTTGTTTTCAGGGTCCCATGATTCTTTCACATTCTACCTGGATAAGACTTCGGATGTGGGACCAGACACATCTCAGGCCATCCGTGATCTGGTCAAGGTCTTCGGGGGAATGGCCAAGGATGTCATCTTCAAATGGTCTCAAACTCAAAGCTTATCCTTTGCAGATCAACTAAAAGCTGGAATACGCTATTTCGACCTCCGCATTGCCTCGAAGCCAGGGTCCGAGGATACTTATTTCATACACTGTCTATACGGCAGCAAAGTGGAAGCCTCTCTGCAGGAAATAAATGGTTATCTGGAAGAACATCCGACGGAAGTCATCATCTTGGATTTTAACCACTTCTATGGCATGAATGAGTCCATGCACAAACAGTTCATGTCGGTAATCTTAGAAACCTTTGGCGCCAAGATCTGTCCTCAGAAGGACATGCAAAGCCTGACCCTGGACGAGCTTTGGCAGAACAAGTTCCAGGTGGTGGTCATCTATCAGGACGACGTTGTGAATGACTTTGACCAATTCTGGCCTGCCAGCTGCATACAGTCCCAATGGGCCAATACCACTGATCCAGCCAAGATGACTCAATTCTTTGAGAAGATGCACAGTGAAAATCGTCCGGCAAATACGTTTCGAACCTACCAAGGCGTTCTGACTCCAGACGCTACTTACATAATCAGCCGCTTCTCTGGAAGTCTCAAGAACGATCTGGTGGCAAAAGCTGATCCTGTCTTTGTTCAGTGGCTGAAGAAGAAGACGCGAGGGGAAAATGGCATCAATATCTGCACTATGGATTTTATTGAAAAAGAAAGCTTTATCTTTGAGCTCCTTGGTATGAATAAGTAACAGATGATGCCAACACGCACGTCTCATGTTGTGGATGTTTGCTTTTTTCTTGTTCCTGACACTGGTTTTCAGAGCACGATAACTTGAGAAGCCCTGTGTGCACTGGTTTTCTTTGATGACTGACCTGAGAGAAATACATTGTGGAGAACTCGGACATATGGAATACTTAGTTTACTGTATCCTTTTAGTTCAGAAATAATGGCCTTAGTTGATGTCTACAGTCTTTCGAGTAGGTTCGGACTGTTCTTCATAGTTGCAGCTAGGATATAGTTTTAGTTGAGATGATTATTATTTCAGGTGTTATTGTATGCATTGGTAACAGTTATTTAATACTATAGTATTCTGGGGCTATTACGTGATACAGATCCAGCATGAAACTATACTGATTTGCATCGTAGGCAAAGTATTTCTGTACCCTTGTCTTTAGTTGCCAAACAATGACTATCCATATGTGCACTCTTTATGTTTCACTGAAAAAGTGCAATGTTCAACTCAAATATCTTTTATTTGTAAGAACAGACCTGTATATTGTCTTGTTGTGACAAACCTTCCCTAAAGTTGGTGATATGAAGAAGACTTTAGAATGCTGTTTTATTGAAATATGTTTGTATTTTGTAATTTTTTGTTTAGATTTTAGTGAACATTAACCCTAATTAATCCTGAAACTCACTTTTTGTCTCCCGACTCTTGGCCAATTGTCAATAAGATATGTAATAATTAGTTTGAGAGTCATGATCATTTCCGAAACACAACACTCAGGGTAACCCTGTAGACTGTTGGATTTCTGTGTGGAGCTTTGTCTGAACTGGCAACTTTTGAACCACACAGGCAATTTATTTGTCTTGCCAGTCCAGCTGTCTGGCTGGAATATCTCTGAATTTTACACACTGATATTGATCAGTCAAACATAAATTAAATTGGTCTTGACAAACGATGCAAATCAAAATATTTAGATACCTGAATTTGTATTGTCATTAGCATTGTGACAGTAAATCATGGTCATTGTAGGTAATACTTCACATGTGTTTGTTCTGAAATGGGAAATTACTCTAGTCATTGCTAGTCTGTACAGTAAAAGCTTCTACACAATGTTTCCATTTCAAAAATACTATGCCCCAAAAAGTAGGGGATAGTGGGAATCATCAAGGCACATCTTCACATGGTATTAGCAAATGGAAATGATATGATCATATCTGCTTGGGAGTAGGCGGTCAGATCTAATGGGTTCTAATGGTTGGTGTGATGAGAAGGTTGCGCGCAAGGTCGTTAAAGTGGTCGGGGGCCAAATTCGAAATTTACATTTTGCAGCCAATATCACTGATATCGGGTAAAACCACCTCCGTTGGCCAGACATGCACCAATTCTTCGAGGAATGATGAGTCGACCAATGTCCGCTTGACACATGTTGTTCCACTCATCAGTGAGAGCAACACCGAGTTCATTGAGAGTGGTGGATGGATTTTGACGTACACGTCTGCCAGTGACGACCCAGATGTGTTCAGTAAGGGAGAGGTCAGGTCTGAGTGCGCACCATGGCATAACATAGATCTTTTGCTGTAAGGGGAATTGGGTCACAATCTAGGCATGATGAACATGTGCATTATCATCTTGAAAGATGCAATGTTGCCCAACATGTCGTGCAAATGGCACACAAATGGTGCAATGATGTTGTCCGGATAGTATTGACCTGTGACTCGGCCATGGACAATATGGAGTGCGCATTGTCATTGTGATAGCACCCCATGGCATTATGGACCCACCACCCAAACGTCCATAAAACGCTCATTAGGACGTCTCCAAAATCTATTCCTTTGACCATAGAAGTCGAGGGTTAACCTCGATTTGTCAGAAGACATGACATTAGCCTAACGTCGATTATCCCAGTGCTGACATTACCTACACCACTGACGCCTCTGACTCAAATGACGTGCAGTAAATTGTGGCATGACACGTGAACGTCATGCACGCAAATGTTACCTGTGCAGACGATTTTGCATCCTCTGGCATGTACTTTTACACCAGTTGCCTGTTGCAACCGGTCCCTTATCTGAGGGGCAGTGTGCAACCGATTTCTTAATACCATCGATCTGACTAATCTGTCCTGGGCTGGACTTGTTGCCCTTGGGCGTCCGTAGCACATCAATCATCACTGTTGCCTGTTTGTTGGTATTGGGCCCACAATCTGCTCGATGACGAATTGAAAAACATGCAGCGTTGGGATGACAATATTCTGACACGTGTCCACCCGCAGCATGTCTATGGCACGTAAACATTCAGCACATTGCAAACGTCATCATCAATCCTATTGCTTCTTTAATGATTAAATGTGTCTAGTAAAGTGTCTTTGAGTGTTTGGTTCCAAAATAACATTATGCGTCTGGCATACCACCCCTTGGACGTGCTGTCCAAGGTCACATGCTTCATGACTGTCAATGTTGTTTGGCAGCTTAATTTCTTCAGAAATGTTCTTACACATAAATCACTTGCTTTCATTGCTAGACATTAGTTTGTTCTCCTGTAGTTTCACCTGAAAACAAAATATTCCCAACAATTTTTGCATAGTATACATTTCAAGTTTCATGATTAGCAAAAGGGTGCAACTTGAATCACTTTCGAGTTTTCTCAACACAGAACTTCATATCTACTTCTTCTTTTTTAAAGAAACCCAGTAATTGTAATTGTATTATCTTGATTAGAGGGACTTAATTATCTATATATCACTTTAGTAGCTATGTGCGAAAAAAGGCTTGTCCAATGAAAATTTCTATCAAGCAGCCAACTCACTTCAACCTCAATTGAGGACATGGGCAATCAAATTGTGCTGCAATGAATCTGTGAAAACCTCTCAGCAGTGCAGACAACTGAGTTAATGGACTTTCAATGTCAAACAGCTATGGCCTCAACTAGCTTTCTGTTATGCTTAGGAACAATTTAGAAGATGTTGCACGACCACCAACACTCTGGCTTGCCCAAAGGCAGGGTAGGATGAGGACCATGTTGGATAACCTAAAAACAAACACCTTTGTAAAATCATCATGATAATCATCAAACATGTTCAAATAAATGAGAAGTTGACCTTTTCTTTTCAATACTTACCTGTTTTCAACTTATAACAGCTCCAAATGTAGAGAAAACACTAAATGTAACAAAAGCCTACCTTTGAATGTTTTCAGAGCGCTTTTTTTCAATATTTCAATTCTTTCACCCAAGCTGAATTAAAGTAAACATATGGTGAACGAATTAGCTTGACTGACGCTTAAATCGTGTTTAGATTTTTACTTGTATTTCATCCTTTTCACTTTTTTTCGCCAGACTTATGTCCTTGATCATGTCAGCAGTAAAAATATTGTACATTTAAGAAAGAAAAAAAGGGGAGTTGTCTTGCATTTGGACATGTCTTATTATTTTCCTACCATTTCGGTAACTTTGTCAAGTGGGCTTAAAAAGAACCCTTACCTTACCTCTTTCTTTGCTAACAGGGCAGAAGATGTTGTAGACTTCAGGCGGGCAATGTGTCATTAAAGTTTATGAGATTAGCCCATTCACTTTCAATTGGATGTTAGTGCAGGTACTGCTTCCCACCAACTAACTACCATTGAGAGGTTTTACAATGAACACAACTACATGTATTTAAATTTTGATCAAAACATATTGGTTGATGGGGGAGGATTATTGATTTAATATGCATACAGAAAATCAATGCTGAGTGTTTGTCAGAAGATTTCTCAATCAAAACCAGCGTAACAAATTGGCACTAGTCCTGTAGTCCTTGCCAAACTGCCTAGTAGTTAAGGTATCCTAAGGACCAGTAGAAATTTGCCATTTTTAAGGGCTTTGTTATATGTTATCATTATAAGGACTAAAAATGTTAGTTTCTACCACTGAAAACCATTCTCCATCTGATACAGTTTATCATCCATTTTCAACATTCTGATACATTTACACAACAGGGTCAAGATTGATCCATATGTTTGGTCATTGAGAAAAGATTTCTAACTGTCTTTTGAAATTCAGATCTTTAGCATGTTGAGTAGAATGTTCTATCAAAATATTTTTTTTGTCATTTGCAAAAATCCCTGTATGATTAATGAAAAGTAAATTTATCAACGTCATAAGATCTAACCATGGTAACCATGGTAACAATGGTCACAATGGAGTCATTATTACTCTTTCAAAAGTGGATTGGTTTGCATTTTGTATAACTCTTGATATAATCATGTTATCCAGTCCTCTAAGTAACGACCATTTGGGCAGCCAAAATGTGACTTAAATCCATGATTGGCGGCCTAAATGTATCTACTGCTCACCTCTTGGCTACCTAAAAGTAATGTAACTGGCAACATTTTCTGTTTAAGATATGTGTTGGTTCCTAAAAACCTAGGTTTTGCTCTTAAAATATTCATGTTAGGAGCCGCTTCACCATCTGTATGACAAATAGCCATTGAGGCATTTAGATACATAAAGATGACAATCAACTAGTTGACCAATTGACTAGCTATGAATTACTGAAATCACAGTTTGTTCATTTAGATCCAAGTGTGTCCAGTGACCTGAGCTAATCAGATTCATCAGAATCAAATCTTAACACAGATATGTTACTCTGATTTGATACCTCTCTACATTTGACAAACCTTCAGATAGGTCACGCCCAGTTCACTTCCTAATCAGCCAATGAGAGTGGAGGCTTCTTAATTCTTTGTACAAGTAAACAAAGCATTTGATACTACATATCTGACCTTTGATTTTCAATATGAACCCAAGCAGGCAGTTCCAAATGGAAAGTAATGTGGCTATGCCATATTGTGGAAACCTTACAGCCTGGCCTTTCAATTGCATCTTTCAATCAACTATATAAGTATTTCTTTCATCCATATGATCAGTGGATTCATTTTTCCCACGCCAAACAGAATTAAACTTCCCTTACTGCACTGTCTATGTCAAGGCCTCCAGTGAGACAAGGGGCGGTCAGGTAGCCTAGTGGTTAAAGCATTCGCTCGTCACGCTGAAGACCCGGGTTCGATTCCCGACATGGGTACAATGTGTGAAGCCCATTTCTGGTGTCCCCCATCGTGATATTGCTGGAATATTGCTAAAAGCGGCGTAAAACCATTCACACACTCCAGTTAGACAATGAAGCCAAATTGTTTGAGAAAGGTGGCATCTGATTGGCTCAAGCCCGCACACCTGTCTTTTGGATTGGGCAGTCAGGGTTCACTCGACATTAGCGTCCAGTGGAGAACTTATCAGAACTTCAACAAGAGAAGTATTAACACAGTGTAAAAGACTTGAATGACATCACATCGGAACCAGTCTTTTTTTCACAATTTTCAAGTATTTTAGGGATGATTAATTTATTATCAGGATTAAAGACCATATTCAGAACAAAACTATCTCCCTGATGAGTCTCTACCATGGTATTGAAAAAAGCAGAACAAAGTTCAACTTCACAAACTTTTGATGTCAACTCATGTCTTTGACATAAAGACATTTTGGCTTTTTAATCCTATTTTTATAAAGAATTTCTTGTTATTTCAACACCAATCTTAAAAATCAAACATACATTTGACACTACATCCTTTGAACAAATAATAATTTGTGACATTTACAAGATTGTATGTGCATCAAACTAGATGTGCCTAGGAGCATTAGTTGCATCACAATCATCACAATCTTGTTCTTGGTACAAGTTTTCATTATAAAACCAAATTTCAACTAGGTCACATGTTGTGTTGGCGGTGAGTGACGAAGCGCGTCTATCTCCGTGTTGGTAGTTTTGTGTACAACCTTGTATTATAGTGTTAGTCGTGTTCAGTATTGTTAGTGGCTTCGGAGTCTGCATGTAGGTCACATGGCCTGTGATCATGCTGTGAGGTCATTGTGCCATCCTGATATGGTACAGTCATAGACATCCAGTTGTGAGTTTGGTTGGTAGGACCAGTTGTTTGCTAGTCTTGTAAATAAGGACATTTCCATATCTTGTTCATATGGTTGTTTGAGATATGTATATGTTTTGGAATATTTTAATGATTATAATTCTATTTGTATTTTTGTCAGTCACAATTAACATGATTAACATTTGGTCATGTACTTCTCGGTGCTGTTGTACAAAGGATCTTAGTGCTAAGATGATCGTACTTTAACTCCCATACTTTAACACAGACTTACGTCATCATAGCGCTAAGGGTGTTTTGTACAACCGAAACCTGGAAGCCTTCTTTATAATTCCTGATGTGGAATGGCAACCAGCACCAGAAAATGGAACTCAAAGAATATCTGTGTCGTTTTGGTCTTCCTTCTATGCCTTGCTTTTATTCTTTCTGTTGCCTATGCACAGTCAAATGACACACTGACACAATTTTTGTATTTTGTTTTGATTATTTAAAACAAGGAGATGACATGAGCAGGAATATTGATTTTGGGTTGGCAAATTAGAGTTACCTGCCCTTGGTTATGAAAAAAGTCCAGGCACAAAAATATTGCCCTTGGTGTCCTTAAACCTGGCATTGTGCAGTGTCCTTGAAGTGGAGTGGGTAAGCTAAAGGGCTGTAATGATACACTGGTACCTACGATGTCATCAGTACTAAGGCTCAGACGATACTTGAATCATGACTTTGTGAGATTTGATGCCCTATAAATAGAACAGAAACTGAAAGAGTTATCTCCCGTAATGGCAGAAGTAGCATAGCGCAACAAGGGCGTGGTGATAGAGGACGTGCCTGCTATTAAACTATTACATATAATAACCATCCCTTCATTTAGAACTGTTTTGTTCTTGGTTTTTTGGTCGACTAATTTTTATTTTTGAGGTAATAATAAGTAAATGTATGAAGCTAATGGTTTTAGAGTTTTATTTCCGTGATTCCATCATTTCTTACTATTTGTTGGTGTATCGTGATACCAGTGGTACCATCAGTCCATTTTATTTCGAAAAAAATCTTTATTTCTGTATAAATTACCACCAAAGACAATAAATAGATCTTAATTGTGCACCCCCCCTTTTAAAAAAAGCTGTATCCGCCCATGCAGTCTATCGTGGTACGTATTGTATCACAAGATACGAGGCTGTACTGAGCTCCAGTAAGCTGTGCTTCTTGTAAGACATCAAATATCAGCACCAGTGGGATCTGTTTCAATATGCATGTCTTCTTGGAGGTCAGAAAGAAATGTGTGACTACCGTCATCTTTTGTGTTAGCCATGTAGATCACATAAAGACATTACTGGTTCTATTCAGAGAGATTGGAATTGGATAGAATACAAAATTAGATTTGATCAGACACAATTTTAGAAGCCTTCGGACATGTTTTGTGATGGCAGTTGGAATTCTATTTCAGTATTGATTTGGCTGAATTAGCATAAACATGATGAAGAAATTGCAAGACCACATGAGCTGATATAGTACATCTGCAAGGAATTCCACTGAAAGTTATGACTTTATTATAAATGACCAACCCCGAGGACAATGGTCATGATAAATGTATTCTCCGTTAAAGGAACAAACTGCCAGAGAGTACTAACAACACTGTAATAATAATAATAATAGTCCATTTATGATGAGCCAAGTGAATGCTGAAGACACATGCTATAATTACCCAAGTCAGTGGATCAGTGTGCACACAAGTTTCATTCTCAGCTCCTTGGGGAATATGAGTGACAATGTTGAATGTAGTTTGTCCATCATTGTGTGTTGCAATAGTTCTAGATCCTTTATTTTAAACAGTCGCTATACAAGTGCAATAATCTTGGACGCGACGTTAAAACCCATTTCACCTCACCACCTTATTTCAAATATACAGTTCATTTTTCTTGCATCTTTCATGTTTGTTATATGCTCTAAATGTTTTGATCTATATTTCACTGACAACTGCTCAGTACTCAAAATATGTTTATAAAATGCTTTACTGAAGGTTGACCTGAACAGTTCTAAAGCTTTAGAAAAAGGGTTTGTACATCTTGTATATTTTCTTTCAAAACAATTAATTGTCATGATTATGACTGACAAAAATACAATCACTTTGTTGGTTAATTATCACTAATCACGTGCTTACAAACAATTAGCCTGATGAATATGATTAAACAGGGCTTTCACTGTTTATGTTGAGTGTTTCCTAGAATGTACCAAGGTTGTTGTTTTAGAGATTATATATTCGATCTATCATAGTTATCACAAATGTTTACAAATTCATTGTAATGTGAAATAGACACATCTTCTGTTGCCATGGATACTATGAACTATGATTTGTTCATCATTTACTGGGGCAGTTGGATAGTCAAGTGGTATGTGTGTCATCTTTCTCGAGTTTAAATCCTTCATCATGTACACCAGTACAATTACTTATCAAGGTATCCTGAACCCAAATCTCATTAGAATCAGATCTTTTACTCGGATCTGGTGCCGCCCAGTGTGAGGGTCTGACAAATCCTCCATAGGAGTTGACGCCAGGGGAACTTCCTTATTAGCCAATCAGTGCTGAGGCTTTTAAATACTCAGTATGAGTGAACAAATCATTCAGAGCAGCATATTCCTATTTCTGACTCTCACAGTTCCAAATGGAATATGAAATAAACCTCACTATGTTGTTATGTATATTTTATACACTTTTATTTCTAAATGCCATGGCATGAAATTTCTGAAATAAATAAAGTTGAATTACCAAATTGTTTCACAAGTCACAATGTTTGGTACAGAGTTGTGTCCCTTAACAGGTCACTGTAGAGTTGTGTCCCTTAGTTGTCACAAGTCACTGAATGAAGCTGATATCTGATTGGTTGAGAATCAACACTTTCTTAATTTACCTTGTTCAAAGTTTGCTGAGAGTTTGTCTGATGCAACCTCCTGTGGCGTGTTTGCTGTATCTTGATACAGAGACGTGTAGTATCATTGTACAAGATCTGATCTTAATGAGTGCCCAACCAATTATATAGTGTTGGTATGGTTGTGTAATAACATACGCACTGACACTTGATTCTATATCTTTCACATCTAATGTTATTTTTGTATACTGACAAACACAGTTGTAATTTCCAATATTGTTCATGAAGATGTGTCTATTTTTCTACAATATGACTGTATTCCTTTTGCATTAAGTATTTTGACACCTAAAATTACATCATAGCTTTTTTATTTTCAGGAAATTTATTTTATATTGACCAAATAGAGACATATTTTTAGATTGACACTTGTTTTATATGAATCACGTAATAGGTATTATCGACAATCACCTCAATTACGATGCCAAAATATTTCTTCATTATTCAGCCTAGGCTGTAAGAATATGCAATTTAACAGAATTATTTGAATTTGCACAGCAACAAAGGCCACTGTCACTGTAGGCCCTCACTCTTGTTATAGGTATTTCTGTTCACAAGTACTAAGGAGTTAATGGTATATCTTCTCTGCACTGTCAGAAACTGGAGTACAACCTCATCTCTTTTTCTTGAAGGATTTACACTGTATTGGTGTGAACTTGGGATGATAATTGGCCCCATAGACTCTTTTAATATGCAATCTTTATAAAGTCAAAATTACAAATATTATGTTAATTTCAAATATATCTGCCTCATTATGTTTGTGTTCATACAATTTGAAATCTCTGGTTGATTTCATTCTTTTATTAGAATAATACATAGTCAGATGTTAAAAAGCATAGTTAACCTTTCAACTGTCAATAATATTTTAACTACTATATACAATAATTTGTTCAAAATAAGATACGAAAACAAATTTTCTGGAAAATTCATTGGAAATCACTCTTCGGAAAGTTTTTCAATTTTTCATTGACTGTTTATCAATAATCAGTTTTTGTGATATGTTTGTTACCATGGTTACTATGGTTCAAATTTAAAACATTTTTTTTTTTCTGAAATCGTTTGGTATCGTTTATGAGTACATGTTATCACGGTTATACATCTATTGTTTTTGTCCTAAGCATGCTTCCCAGTGAATAGAAATCCATACGTAACATTAGGAACAGATATCACTTCATCAAATATTTATGTGAAGATAACAATATATAGCTCATCGCTACATGTGGTATGTATAATGGTGACTGGTTATTTTAAGCTTTTCCCTCCAGCCTGAAATGTACACCTTCCAAGTCAATCTGTTTGTTTATGAACATTCTGACAAACTGTAAACAATGCTTTTTACAGGAGTATGTGAGAGGGCAGAGAGATAGAAGAATGTTGTTTCCAAGGAAACAAGTCACCTCAAGTTGCTTTCTGAGTTTATGTATGTTAAATGGATGTTTTCTACATCCTTACCCTTTTTGTTTGTTTTTGTTTGTTTGTGTGTTTGTTGTTCAATGCCGCACTCAGCAATATTCAAGCGAAATGGTGGCAGTCTGTAAATAATCGAGTCTGGAACAGACAATCCAGTGATTGACATCATGAGTTTCGATCTACGCAATTGAGATACAATGACCTGCATCAACCATCATGTGCATTTATAATGTGCCAAATTCCATTTACCAAGTGGATGCTCAGAGCACTACACTATTATTACCCTGGTCAATGGATCAGTGTGCGCTCGATTTTCTTTCTCAGCTCCCTGGGGAATATGCAACCCATGCTGCCTGTGAGGCACTAGAAGGTTAACAGCCACATTAACATTGCATCCTACCGGGTACCCACTCACTGCTGGGTGAACAGAGGCACATTTAGAACAAAGGCACTTGCCTAAGGAGACACCACATGTGGTACATGTGCTTCAGTGTAGGGCAGGTCAGAGGCCCCAGAAACTCTCAGGAGTCAAGCTGCTCGTAGAGACTGCCGATGCTTAGCTTCACCTGATTTGTGACCTGTGCACTGTGCACAGGACCATGTGCCACCACTAATTAGCTACTGTAAGCGGCAACTTCACTGGATCAGGTGGACAGGCTTGGTGACATGGTTGAATATGTGTCATCATGTTGCTGATGATATCAACTATCGGTTTCTCTGACCCTTGCAGACCGGTTATCAGCAACCCATGCTTGCCACTATGCTTGTCGTAAGAGGCGACTAACGGGATTGGGTGGTCTGAACCGCTGACTTGGTTGATGCATGTCATATTCTAATTGTGTAGATCGGTGCTCATGATGTCAGTCACAGGATTGTCTGGTCCAGACACGATTATTTACAGACTGACATCATCAACTGATCATCAAAGCTGGAATATTGTTGAGTACAGTGTTAAACAACAAACAAACAAACTGTATCTTGCTGACTGCAGAATACAACAACAAACAGAAACGCATGTTATACTGTGTGCGGAATTGAACCAGCTTTGTCAGAGTGACAAGTGAAAATATTAACCACTAACACTGACTAACACTAAGGTACCGGTGATTTATTACAGGGGTGGGTGGGTCAGAGATTTTCCATACACAAATGTACATAAAAAAATGACCTTCCCCTAATGAATGTCATATTTTGAATGACCCTTCCAATACCCTTGTACCTTTTTTCAATTCCCTCCATTTAAAGACAAGATATAAAAACACTTTGTGTTTTATTATAAACTGTTCATTTTTTTCATGACCATCCCCAACGAAATATGTGTATTATTTTCAATGACCCTCATCTAGGGACTGTCCTATTTATAGGTGACCTCCCCTGATAATCTCTGGACACCCCCCATCACCCCCCTATGATAAATGACCAGTCTCTAACAACAATATGAGCTCCTTCAAGCATGGAACAATATGGACCTGTAGACAGGGAATATGTTTTAATGTTAGCACAGAGACCACCTTTAAGTATATATGTGAAATAACATAGCTCTATGTTTCTTGTCTTATCATTTGAGTTGTGACTTTGAGACAAAATTGTGACATATTAATAAACTTTTGCAATGTGTCAGTCTTTTCACTTATCCTCTTTTTCAAATTTGTTTACCGGTAGTTTGAAATGTTACGATATATGTATGTATCAATTTTGCTGACATGGGCCAAATGTTGTGATTTTTACCTTAGATGGTACATATCAATGAAATGTAGGTCAAAGTCTGTAAGAGGACCAACATCTGCTTCTAACTTGAGACATAATCATATAATATTCTTTGTTGTCTTATGATGTATATATCATAGTATATCATAAATTATTGTTGAACATACATCATGTCTTTGTTCTATTTTATAAACTGTGTAGCTCTTCTTGTCTGCCAGTCAAAAGCAATTCGCTGTGCAGGGTTGCATCCCTTGGGCACGCCAGAAACCTGTGATTGTTGGTTTTAATCCCAGGTTTGTCTTGATTATGTTTCTAGGTTTGCCAGCACCATACCCATGCTCGTGGGTTTCACTGAAATGGTAAACGTCTGTGACATGCATCACTTTGGGCTTTCGTCCCACATTAACCTGACACGCTGTGATATAACTGGAATACTGTTAAAAGAGATGTTAAAACTCACCCACTCACTCAAACTCAAACTAAATATATCCAAAAACTCCCAAGCAAGGTAATAATTCTTATGCAAACAAATCTCTGGGACATCTGAAAATGGAAAATCTATAATTTCAGACTATATGTTTATCTATAGTTCTGCCAACATATCGTCAATATACTTCTGGGATCTGTATACACTGCATTCCTCCATCTTAGTCAGTACATACAGTGGCTATGCGGTGTAGTAATGGCATGTGTCTACTTTTATATTTGTCAAGTAATAACACAAGGCCGTGAATAACTCACAGAAGTCAATTGGACTCGACTCAACTAAGTGCAAGAACATCCAGGGAATGATTTATCTATATAAAGATGCTCCAGAGCAACCTAATATTGGAAAATGCTATCTGATATTTATGTCTTCATGCACAAAGTACAAGTAGAAATAATTCAAATTTGTGTCTGAGTAACCATTACTTTCCACATAACATTGATCTCGGGACACACTCAATACCTCTAAGCTATATATACCATACTACATCACTAATCCCTGTGTTATGTGTAATTTGTCATGCTATCTTGGGCTTGACATCATCAAACTGAGATATGTTTTATTTAGACTAGTTTATGCATCTATGTACAACTTTGATAAATTAATGGCACCAGGGTGCAGCCTGGATTTGTCTGGTGCAACTAGGTTTTGACGTCAACGTGCACCCGGTGCAAGTTAATTCAAGTTCCTAAAATGGAGCCCTGACACTGTGCGAACCCTACAGTTGCCTGACACTGTGCGAACCCTCCAGTTGCCTGACACTGTGCGAACCCTACAGTTGCCTGCAATTGTGCAAACCCTACAGTTGCCCGACATTGTGTGAACCCTACAGTTGCCTGACACTGTGCAAACCCTACAGTTGCCTGACATTGTGCAAACCCTACAATTGCCTGACATTGTGGGAACCATACAGTTGCCTGACACTGTGCAAACCCTACAGTTGCCTGACATTGTGCAAACCCTACAATTGCCTGACATTGTGGGAACCATACAGTTGCCTGACATTGTGCAAACCCTACAGTTGCCTGACATTGTGCAAACCCTACAATTGCCTGACATTGTGCAAACCCTACAGTTGCCTGACACTGTGCAAACCCTATAGTTGCCTGACATTGTGCAAACCCTACAATTGCCTGACATTGTGGGAACCATACAGTTGCCTGACATTGTGCAAACCCTACAGTAACCTGACATTGTGGGAACCCTACAGTTGCCTGACATTGTGCAAACCCTAGAGTTGCCCGACATTGTGTGAACCCTACAGTTGCCCGACATTGTGCAAACCCTACAGTTGCCTGACATTGTGCAAACCCTACAGTTGCCTGACACTGTGCAAACCCTACAGTTACCTGACATCGTGCAAACCCTACAGTTGCCTGACATTGTGCAAACCCTACAATTGCCTGACATTGTGGGAACCATACAGTTGCCTGACATTGTGCAAACCCTACAGTTGCCTGACATTGTGCAAACCCTACAATTGCCTGACATTGTGGGAACCATACAGTTGCCTGACATTGTGCAAACCCTACAGTTGCCTGACATTGTGCAAACCCTACAGTTGCCTGACATTGTGCAAACCCTACAGTTACCTGACATTGTGGGAACCATACAATTGCCTGACATTGTGCAAACCCTACAGTTGCCCGACATTGTGTGAACCCTACAGTTGCCCGACATTGTGCAAACCCTACTGTTGCCTGACATTGTGCAAACCCTACAGTTGCCTGACACTGTGCAAACCCTATAGTTGCCTGACATTGTGCAAACCCTACAATTGCCTGACGTTGTGGGAACCATACAGTTGCCTGACATTGTGCAAACCCTACAGTTGCCTGACATTGTGGGAACCATACAGTTGCCTGACATTGTGCAAACCCTAGAGTTGCATGACATCGTGCAAACCCTACAGTTGCCTGACATTGTGCAAACCCTACAGTTGCCTGACACTGTGCAAACCCTAGTGTTGCCCGACATTGTGTGAACCCTACAGTTGCCTGATATTGTGCAAACTCTAAAGTTGCCTGACATTGTTCAAACCCTAGAGTTGGCCGACATTTTGTGAACCCTACAATTGCCTGACATTGTGCGAACCCTACAGTTGCCTGACATAGTGCAAAACCCTACAGTTGCCTGACACTGTGCAAACCCTACAGTTGCCTGACATTGTTCAAACCCTACAGTTGCCTGACACTGTGTGAACCCTACAGTTGCCTGACATTGTGCAAACCCTACAGTTGCCTGACACTGTGTGAACCCTACAGTTGCCTGACATTGTGCAAACCCTACAGTTGCCTGACATTGTGTAAACCCTAGGGTTGCCCGACATTGTCTGAACCCTACAGTTGCCTGACATTGTGCGAACCCTACAGTTGCCTGACACTGTGCAAACCCTACAGTTGTCTGACATTGTGCAAACCTTACCGTTGCCTGACATTGTGCAAACCCTACAGTTGCCTGACATTGTATGAATCTTACAGTTGCCTGACACTGTGCGAACCCTTCAGTTACCTGACATTGTGCAAACCTTACAGTTGCCTGGCATTGTGCAAACCCTACAGTTGCCTGACACTGTGCAAACCCTACAGTTGTCTGACATTGTGCAAACCTTACCGTTGCCTGACATTGTGCAAACCCTACAGTTGCCTGACATTGTATGAATCTTACAGTTACCTGACACTGTGCAAACCTTACAGTTGCCTGACATTGTGCAAACCCTACAGTTACCTGACATCGTGCAAACCCTACAGTTGCCTGACACTTTTTGAACCCTACAGTTACCTGACATTGTGCAAACCTTACAGTTGCCTGACATTGTGCAAACCCTACAGTTGCTTGACATCGTGCAAACCCTACAGTTGCCTGACATTGTGCAAACCCTACAGTTCCCTGACATCGTGCAAACCCTACAGTTGCCTGACACTTTTTGAACCCTACAGTTACCTGACATCGTGCAAACCCTACAGTTGCTTGACATCGTGCAAACCCTACAGTTGCTTGACATTGTGCAAACCCTACAGTTACCTGACATTGTGCAAACCTTACAGTTGCCTGACATTGTGCAAACCCTACAGTTACCTGACATTGTGCAAACCCTACAGTTGCTTGACATTGTGCAAATCCTACAGTTACCTGACATTGTGCAAATCTTACAGTTGCCTGACACCGTGCAAACCCT